AATATGAAAATGTAACAATGGGGTTTTGCAAAGCATAACATTTGATTTCAGTTAACAAAGTATACAATTACATGGAACTTATGGCTAAGGAGTTTTGTAACAGTCAACAGGAAATGGTCAGCATGACCTGCCCGGAGACAAAGCTGGGGGTCTGCGGTCATGGGAACGTTACTGTAATCATACATAGTCATTGATTTTTAGGTCAGGCAGGTAACTAAGATGAAAATTTTAAATAATATGGAGTAAGCTGGTTGATACTATTTATTTTGCTAGCTATTTGATTTCATTAACTGATTTAGCTCATTTCACATAGAAGAAGAGAGGGAGTGAACTAAATCAAATACTGCCCAGCATGACAGGAAGACTGAGAACAGACCTTGATTTTTAGCAAGATAAGGGTTTGTTTTCACAATCCCATCTAAACAGTTTTGTTGAAGGAGGTGAAATGCTAATCAGAATGGATTTAAGAGAGATTGGAAGTAGGGAAATTCAGTCAGCCAGTATGACAACTCTTTTGAGGATTTTTGCTAGAAGGGGGATCAAAGACTGTAACTGATGAGGGTAGGAGGGACAAGGGAAGTATTTTGAGGATGGAAGATATTTCAGCATGTTCATACGTTGATGGGGATGATTTAGGAGAAGCAAAAGATTATAGGAGAGAATGGGGAGATGTGCTGGAATGAGACGCTGGGAGGGCAAGTGAGTCTAATAATATATGAATAGATGGACCAACTTATTTGGAAACAATCTATGGTAAGAGGTAGGAAGGCCAAGTACAGGTGCTGTGGAAATTCTCATTTATGATTGCTTCATCTTTTTCATTAAAATATGAAATAAGATCATCAGTTGCAGGTATGGATGGGAAGTAGTGACTGGAGGTTTTGAAGGGAGTGGAGGAGACCGCTGGGAGGGGGATGTAACAGGAGGGACTAGGGGTAAGCTGCAACTGCTGGGGGGCATCAGCGGTCCACTCGAGGTTTGTGGTCACCAATACAGTGTGACCACACAGCATGGTTGTGTCGAAATCCAATTTTTAAAAATTTTTCAGAGAATCACTGCTCCCACTAAGAAACCAGTTACTTGGCTGTGATCACCCTTCATTTTAAAGTAACTTTGTATTGATGTATAACATATTTTTAAAACATGCAAAATTGCTTATTATTTCTCTCTTATTTTTACTGTCTCTCCTCTGAATGGTGATAAATAGGAAATTGCCAAGTAGCGAGAGCAAGAGACACAGAGAGAGAGAGAGAGAGAGAGAGAAGCAAGTTTTGGTAATCAACCCTGAAAAATCAAGAGCACCTTCCAGTGCTCTCTTCATGTCTTGCAGATCCAATCACTGGTCTGAGTTTATACAAAACTCTATCTTTGCCAGGAATGGGTGACTGTAAGGTCAAGCTTTACCTCTGTGGGAAGATTATTTGCCAGTGTTTCTCATGTGACTAGAACCCCAGACCATCTCTAGGTCCAAGAAATAGTTGTGAACCCTGAGAGAATGTACTGATTTAGGCCCATCTTAAGTGTTTAAGGCATCTGATTGGTGCATGAGTTGTCCTGTGCTTACCAGAAGGTAGAGGTGGCATTCCTTCCCTGGCAGGTCTCAGGAGCTGTCCAGGGGCAACCCGCTGAGCTCTCCCGGGGTTCCGGAGGCTGACGGGTTGACGGTGAAGTCTGACAAGATCACTCTCGGCTCGGTCTTGCTTTTCAGGGTTGGGGAGCTGAGTATCACCGCCAGGATGTCACAAGCACCCCCTGCTGGATTGAGATTCATCTTCATGGACCGCTGCAGTGGCTGGACAAAGTGCTGACTCAGATGGGCTCCCCACATAACCCGATTTCTTCAGTGTCTTAACAGTCCTGGTCTTCAGCTATATTTACATAGAATAGATGCTATTGCAGGCAGTGGCTTATATCATTTCAGATTTGCAACTAACTGAAGTTTCTAAATACATGTATAAATACATATAATGTAAACTATTCATATGTTTTATCCCCATTTGTTTTGTGCTTTCTAGTTAACCTGGTGCCAGTACAGTGTGATTAGAAAAGCAGGTTTCTCATGCCTGTGCTGTAAGAAAGAAACAAATGAATGGCAATAGTGTCAACAGAATTTAAAGGAAGCTGGCAGAATAAAAGGCAGCTTTAGTCAGCCATGTCATTATAAAGCATGTTGTGTGGCCTCACAAAAACACTGAAACTGTTCATATAGCCAAAATTAGGTATTAGCAGCACTGGAGCAAATAACACTTTCAGACAAAACAAAGCAAACTCATAGAGTTTAAAAGATCTCAGTTTTAGTGCTATTATTAGTAAGAAAAAAACAAGCTTATACAATGAATTATGTGAGATAAGCCACAGAAACTTTATTTCTGAAGTTGACATACCTATAGCTGGACTATTGTGCTGATATTAATGGTACATTTTAAACAAATTTAAACTGTGATTGGAAAAGAAAGAAAACTGTGAAGCTAAAAGTCATGTTGCCTCATCTACCACTGTACAAAAAAATAGAGTCTGTTATGGGAAAATAAATATGAAAATAGCATGAACGATAAGGCCAGAACTTAGTCTGAGAACCACCCAAGGAGATGCCTGCTTTCCACACAGTAAGACAGGTTCCTGTTGTTCTGGTTGTTATGTAAGGCTGCCCTGCAGACTTGGAGTCTGTGCGGTGTGCTGGACTAGTCTGGGCTTCAGTTCTATGTCAAGAAACAGCAGGTGAAACACAAGGCTTGGACAGAAGCAGCACACGTGGACTTACACCTCCTCACCCTCCTATGTGGAAGACTCCAGGTGAGGGCACGCCTTTGCCACCTTTTCCTGCCTCTTGGCAAATACAAACTAGTTGCAGATTACAAAAGCAACGATAAAGACTTTTGAGAAAATCTAGACACATCACTGAATCAAATTTATGAGCTATTTAGTGTCTCTAGTGCTTAAATTGTCTACTGGTCAAATCTGGTAGCCTCTTATACAACTGAAGTCTCATATCTGGGAATAAATTCCCAAGTGAAGTGATAATAATTTCATAGTCCCCTATAATTCCTGGGGAGCAGTGGTAATGAATAATAGGGCATCCTTTAAAGACACGCACAGTATTAAAAACCTGTTCTTATTTTCCTTTGGATGATAGAGGAAAATTTCCCAAATTTCTGGGTACTTTCTTATATATGTGTGTGTATATATATATATATATATATATATATGCATATAATTGCCACCCACTAAACACTTCATTGCTTGGAAAAACATTTCACACCCTCTTAAAAATGTATAATTTAAGATGGCGGATATGCTTGTAACAGATGACACTTCAGTAATCAAGGAAATGTCTTCATGTATACATTCTATCTCAACTCTAGCATTAGTGCACATGGTAGTTGTTTCTAATTAAATTGTATTCAAGGTAGAAGTGATCATGTGAAAATGATATGATTGAGCTACTGCTGTCACTTCTTGTAATGATTAGTGTGATCTAATAGAAAATTTCCTATATACAATAGACAATAATTATTACATTTTATATTAAAACTAGGTGGCCCATTTAGTGTTTAGAAAAAGTCATAGTGTATTGGTTCATCAACTATGTATTATGCACCTATAGGTACCCGGTACAATGTTAGGTACTGTAGAATCAAATGTAAACAAGAGACAATCCCAGCCTTCATGGAGCCGAGAGTCTAATAGTAAATCTGTTTGTATGGACATCTTCATGCTTCAGAACTTTTAAAAGAAAACAAAACATGCGATCTATCTTTTGCTTGAAAGAATGTAATTGATTTCTTAAGTATCTCTATTTTGAAATTTTTCTTTCTCTTCTGAGAAATCAGATAATGGATTCCTTATACAAATGCCACTTTTTCTCCGTGTCTCAAAGTTGTTTATTTCTCCCCTTGCTTCCTCATTTTCCAGTAATTCCCTATCTGCCCCTTTCTTGGAAAAGGCATTAATATAGCAAGTCTCATATGAAATCATTCCATGAGAGAGCTTCAAGTACACATGATGTTTGCTCCAGAGGTCAAAAATAGCTTTCTTGATCTCTTCACAAGCTGTCAAACTCATCCTCTGGCATTTTTACACCTTTACAGAATTAATCAGAATTGGTGGCTTAAAAACAAAAGCTCAAGTCTCCATACAACTTTGGGAAACAAGGACACAATATTGCAGTAAACTTGAATTTTCTGTGACAAAGAAATTATTACATTGGCACATATGATCATCACCAGTCATTTTTCACCCAAAGCATTTATTGGGATGCTTATGAAATTAGGAGAATTTAGAATTGATGAGAAGTTAACCTGTTAATCATTATTACATAGTCTTATTTTAATCAGTTTTTTTCTTTTGTCACCAAGAGGTTCAAAAATTATAATGCAGTATTTGATTTCAGGCTTCAGAATGTGCTCATTCAGCACTTATTTTTTAAGGTACATAATAAAAAAAAGAAAAAGAACAGCATTCTTTTCAGGATAACTAACAAAGCAGATGTGCTCAGCCTTTGACTATATCGGCAATGCAGAATACAGTTAAGGTTGCCATGGACAAGGACCACGCAGTAGAGAACACTGTAGTAACATTTGGCTGCTCACTAGACCCAGATGTTTAAGCCTGTTTTTTCTTACTGTTACAAAATTGAGTTGTGGAAAGTTTGTTTTAGCTACATGATATTTTAATAGCTGCCAGAGCTTTGGGACTATAAAGATGTCACTACTTAACACATATACCTTTCATTTTGTTCTTTTTTCTACACTCAGTATAAATTAGGAAACGTTGGCCAACCTCTTAGCATTTAGATCCTCTTTTTCATTGCCTTCTAAGGATATGGATCCCCGCCCAACAAAGCAGTGACAAAACAACAAAAGCATTTCATAAATACCACTTGATAGACTTTAAGCTCCGTTTAACTTATTTTTTATTTTCTTGAGCTGGGGTCTCACTCTGTCACCCAGGCTGGAGAGCAGTAGAAAGATTACTTGGCACAGGTGATCTGTCTGTCTCAGCCTCCTGAGTAGCTGAGACTACAGCTACATCACCACATCTGACTAATTTTTTGAATTTTTGTAGAGACAAGGTTTTGCTACGTTGCCTAGGCTAGTTTCGAACTCCTGGCTCAAGCAATCCTCATGCCTTTGCTTCCCAAAGTGCTGGGATTACTGGTGTGAGCCACCATGTGCAGCCTTCTTACTTAACTTTGAACATGTCCCAAATGTTTGGTATATATGTTCAACAAATAAAGCAAAATATAACATACATTCCACATTTTGTCTTCTCCTGTTATGAATTTAACAGCTGAACTGAATGACAAGATTATGAGACCCTGGCATTTGTTAAAAATAAATCCAAATTTATGAAAAACAAACTTCCAACAACAACAAAGAAAAACTATTTCTGTTTACTCAGTTGTAATAAATTGACTTTAATTATCCCTCAAATACACACTCAGTCTGTTATCTGTTTATAATAAAGAATACTATACCCATATGTCTTTTGGCTCATTTTTCCTATAATCTAATCAAAGGATTCACTGCCAACAAATCTGCAGCACCTTAAGACACTTAAACTATCCTATTTTGAAGATGGGATTTTTTTTAAAAATCATATGCCATAGAGAAATTAAGTAGTGGTTTTGAATTAAATAGCTTAGAATAACTGGCATGAAGTATAGACTCTTGAAGATATTTTTCAGTAACTTTAGAGAGGATATACAGAGAAGCTTTTTTCTGGATAATAGCAAGTATAACATGATATTGAATGTATAGGAAAAAATGAATACTTTAAGCATCTACATGTACATTGTGATACATGTTGGCTATTAGGTGCAAAAAGAAGGCTAGTGAGGAAAAACTAAGATGAAATCTTGAGGGAATATGAACATATCTAAAAATGTAAATTGTCAATTCCCTCCACTAAAATTTCCTTCTAGTCTTAAAGTGAAGGGGAAAATCTATAAATATTTACAATATATAGCCTTCTTGTTAACTTGATTAGAGCTTTCAATTTTTTTTTAAAGCAATGAAGTCCTTTATTCAAAAGAAATATTTTGTGGAACTCCAAAATATAAACACATGAATGACAAGCTATTCTGGTCCAGATACAGGTGGGGGCCATGAAGACTCCAGTTTAAATTGTAAGTTTCTGGAAAGCATGATTGTGTCTTGTTTGTCTCTTCATCTCCCATGGTTCCTGACTCTGTTCTTGTATCTAACATTTAGTATTGGCATTTCAAACACCAGCATATATTTTTACATATATCATGGTATAGACATAAAATATGGTCTTTAAACATTAACCCATCTTAAAGAAGAAATATTTTCTTTCTTTTCTTTTTTTAAAGCAGAATTTATTGAGAGGATAGAAAATCTCCCACAGTAGGAGGGGACCCGAAGGAGTTGCCCTGAAGAAATATTTTCATCATCCTAGAATCCTCCATATATTCATTTATCAGATGGTTCTTTTGCACCATACATAAAATAACAATGTTCCTTCCTTTAAGGAGCTTCCCACTTTGTGGAGAAAGATGAACAAGTAAATCAGTAAAAACCAGTGTGCTGTCAGCTATGACAAGCTACTGGGGAGCAAAGTGATGTCTTCATCAGGGCCTGAATGGGTACCAGGGAAGGTGCTGATCCAATCTGACTTCCTTCTCATCAATTACCTTAGCAAGTCAGCCCAGACATTTCTAAGCCATGTTAGTGCCTGTTCTCTGTGTTTCCACAGTACTTTGTGCCCATCAGTGGTCAGTCATCAATGCCTGTGCTACATTGTTTACTTTGGCTCCTCTCTACCAGACTGGGAGGTCTTTTAGGACAGAGATGCTATCTTCATTTTAAGTGTTTTCCAGCTATTGTTAGTTTAGAAAGGCATCTGCGGTTCACATTGTAAAGGCAGAAATGGTGTTTGTTTCCAATTCTCTTTTTAAAAAACTCAGTAAATATTCAATTTCTCCCCTTCCAAATAAAAATAATTTAAAGGCTCCAATTGCATATCAAGTGGCCAAGCAGAGCAGGTAGGGATCAGAAAAGCCCGGCTATAATTGTTTGAAAGTAGTCATTCATTTGCATAGCAGTAGCAAGGGAACAGTTAAAATTATTTTTTTTCTAAGCACTTAATTTCAAAATGTGAATTTGAGTAAGATAAGAAGTATAAGGAATTTTGATGTTTCGTCGCCAAATTAACACAGACACCAATTCTGAAAGTCTACCTCTATATAATCACTTATGGTTCCATTATTTGCATGCATTTGACTAAAATGTTAGGTGTGGCCTCAGAATGACTCTGGTAATCTACTGAATATTGATGTTAAATGGAGTAAATATAATGAAAATTATATTCAGTTTGGCTTTTAAGCCAAAAACTATTCCCACCTGCAGTGTGTTATTTGGTGATAGTGCTTGCAAGTGGCAAGCTAACTTATCATTTAGAAAGGAAAAAAACTAACCATTATCAAAATGACCCACTGGTATTTAAACATAATTTCTAAAATTACAAACATCATGTTCAAAAGTGTTTTGTCTCTTTTGATGCCATAACAGTTTAATCTATACATTCA